TCTGAAGAAGGGTCCAGACCCGAAACATCAGCTTTCCTGCTCCTCTGATGCTGCTTGGCCTGCTGTGTTCATCCGGCTCTACACCTTATTATCTCAGATTTTCCAGAATCGGCAGTTCCTACTATCTCTGAGTGAGGACTTAGACACTTAATGGTAGAGTCCTGGGGAGTGTTGCTGAATAAAGAGACCTTGGAGTGCAGTTCATTGTTCCTTGAAAGTGGAGTCGCAGGTAAATAGGATAGTGAAGAAAGCCTTTGGTATGCTTGCCTTTATTGGACAGTCCTTTGAGCGTGGGAGCTGGAAGGTCAGGCTTTGGTTATACAGGACATTAGTTAGGCACTTTTGGAATACTGTGTGCAATCTGGTATCCCTGCTATAGGAAAGATGTTGTTAAACTTGAAAGGTTCAGAAATGATTTACAAGGATGTTGCCAGGGTTGGAGAGTTTAAGCTAAAGGGAGAGGCTGAATAGGCCGGGTCTATTTTCTCTGGAGCGTCGAAGGTTGAGGGGTGACCTTATATAGGTTTATAAAATCATGATGGGCATGGATAGGGTAAACAGACAAAGGTCTTTTCCCTGGGGTGGGGGAGTCAAAAATTAGAGGGCATAGGTTTAAGGTGAGACGAGAAAGATTTTAAAGGGACCTAAGGGGCAACATTTTCATGCAGAGCGTGGTGCATGTATAGAATGAGCTTCCAGAGGAAGTGGTGGAGGCTGGTACAATTACAAAGTTTAAAAGGCATGGGTATATGAATGGAAAGGGTTTAGAGGGATATGGGGCAAATGCTGGCAAATGGGACTAGATTAATTTAGGATATCTGGTTGGCAGGAACGAGTTGGACTGAAGGTCTGTTTCCATGACATACATCTCTCTGACTCTATGCTGAGTTTCTCCAGCAATTTCTGTTTTTCTTTCAGATCTCCAGCATCCGCGGTTCTTTGTTCTATAACAAAAAGGAGGTTCTCGATAGGAAAGAAGACAGGAGAAATTAAATGTCAAAAAATTTCATGGTACAAAGGCCAAGGGGAGTTGTAATGAGTAAGGGAACAAAAGATGTGTCTTGATGAGGTGTAAGTGACTGGATAGCAGCCATCCAAATGCAGGATAACTGAATAAAGAAAGGAAGAAGTAAAACTCGAATTCACAAGAAATGAAATAAAATAAATGGAAAAGTCATGATACAATATTATGGAACACAATGGAGGCTGTTGCAACAAATCTGCTGTTGACAAAAAAGGTAAAAATAAAAGCTTATATGTGCTGTGAATATGCAGAAACATAACACACGGACTAGTGGCAACTATACGTATACACATAGATGTGTGTATAGGTGCAGGCATGCTTGCAAAAGTACACACCAACGTGAGGGCTGTTTTGGCAAAGTGGCAGTGACTTCATGTCTGGACTAGAAGATCCAGGTTCAAGTTCCACCTACTCCAGAGGTGTGTCATAACATGTCTGAACATGTTGATTGAAAATATCTATGCACCCAATGTGTTTGCATCTCGTAAGTGTGTGTATTTGTCAGTGTGCACGTGTCCACAAGTAATCCATGAGTGTATGTGTTGGAAAATGTGTGTGTACATTCCCACACATATCCCTATATACTTAGAAGAGTTTTTGTTTGTGTTTATGTGTTAATAGCTGTCTGTAGGTATATGGACTACCAAATGGCCTAGACTATATGATGTACATGCTGTAAACTCAGATCTGGCAGAAAAAGAGATTGATGAATTAAATGATTAATTGCTGAGGTGGATCCAGTTTCTATTGAAGTGTTCTGAGTTATGTAGAAGAATAAACATTACTTATCAACACCACTTATTATTTTTAGACAATACTTGTGTTATGACACATCCTATTGCCGTATTAAGTCATGAGATTAAAAAGATGCTTAGCTGTTCATCTATGAGTATATGAGTATAGGTACTCATAGGTAGTTGTAAAGACATTACAGACAAATTAAAGGGAAATTTCAAACAGGAACCATTGGGATTACTCACAGCCGAGTATGAAATTAGACCACAAGATCATTGAATCACATGATTTAGTTCATTTCATTGTATGTCTTGAGTTAAGAGATTTTAGCTGTGAGACCATGTAAAAAAACAGAATGTGACTTTGATTCTCAGTTTTGAGATGAATGAAATTTGTTGAGAATCTCATTCTTGATCAGGGTTCCAACACCCCTATTGATTTTAATGTAAAGACTAATCAATTAGGTAAGGTGCTGAGTTGGTCCATCTTGGGGATGCATTCTCTGTCATTGCTGAGTCACACCCTCTGTCCATCCAGAGTCTCTATTCCTGATCTCAAACACAATCTATCACTGAGTCTTTCACACGCTGTCCTTTGCTCCAACTCACTCCGTCCATCCCAAGGCTCTCTTATTCTGTCCATCATGAGCCTCTCACACTCTGTCCATCTCTGAATCTCTCATACTCCACACTTTCCTCAGTCTTTCACATTCTGTCAATCCCTGATTCTCTCATGCTTTGACCATCTCTGATTCTGTCACATTCTGTCAATTCCTGAGTCTTTCACATTCTCTCTGTCTATCTTTGATTCTCTTATGTTCTGTATACCTCTGATTCTCTGAACGTTTTGTCCATCCCTGAGTCTCTCATACTTTTTCTTTCCATCTGATTCTTTCACACTCCATCCTTCCCTAGATCTCTCACATTCTATCCATCCCTGATTCTGTCACACTGTGCCTTTGATTTTGGATTCTGGAGAAGTACCAGAGGATTGGAAAACTGCTAATATGACACATCTATTCAAAAAGGGAGGCGGGCAAAAAGCAGGCTGAGATAACAAAGTGTGGAGCTGGAGGAACACAGCAGGCCAGGCAGCATCAGAGAAACAGGAAAACTGATGATTCAGTTTGGGACCCTTCTTTAGTCTCAGCATCTGCAGTTCTTGCTATCTTAGCTTTACATCTATTGTTGGAAAAGTATTGGAATCGATTATTAACGAAGTAATAGTAGAACACTTGGAAAGTCATAATTTAGTCAAGCAGAGTCAGCACGGCTTCATGAGAGGGAAATCAGCTTTGACTAATTTGTTAGAGTTTTTCAAGGAAGTCCCAGCCAGACTGGATAAAGGGAAACCAGTAAATGTGTTGTATCTGGATTTCCAGAAAGTGTCCTACAAGATACCTCATAAAAGGCTAAGTTATAAAATAAGAGCCCATGGTGTTGGAGATAGTACATTGACATGCATAGAGACCTGACTAATGGGGAGGAAACAGTGAGTGGGAATAAGGGGTTCTTTTCAGGTTGGCTACCTGTAACTAGCAGCGTTCCACAGGGATCAGTGTCGGGACCGTAACTGTTTGTAAGATATATTTATGACTTGGAGGCAGGAAGTGAATTGTAGCTAAATTTGTGGAAAACAGGTAGAACGGCAGGTTGTGAGATGGATGGAAACAGTTTACATAGATAAATTGATTAATAGGTTAAGTAAGTGGGCAAAAATTTGGCCAATGGAGTAAAATTTGGGGAAATGTGAAGTTGTTCATTTATGGAAGGGAGAACTTAAGAACAGCATATTAATTAAGTAGAGACAAACAGCAGAAAGCACCTGCACAAAATGACTTATGGGAGCTTGTGCACAAAACACATAAAGCTAGCACACAGGGTGCAGCAGGTAATCAGGAAGGTTAATGGAATGTTGGCTCTTATTTCAAGGGGGCTGAAGTATAAGAGTAGGGAAGTCTTACTGCATTGGAGTACTGTGAGCAGATTCGGTCCCCTTATTTAAGAAAATATATTGTTTCATTGGCGGCAGTTGAGAGAAGGTTCATTTGGATGATCCCTGGTATAGATGGATTGTTCTATGAGCAAAGGCTAAACGTTTTGGGAGGAGGAAGGGTTCTGAGGAAGAGTTACCAGACCCGAAACCTTAACTCTGTTTTCTCCTTCACAGATGCTGCCAGACCTGCTGAGCTTTTCCAGCAACTTTGTTTTTGTAAAAATTTTGGGACTCTACTCACTGGAGTTTAGAAGATTGAAAGTTGAAAATATAGGATTCTTAAGGGGCTTAACAAGATAGGTGCTGAGAAAATATTTCCCCTCATGGGGGAGTCTAGGATCAGAGGGCATAGTTTCAAAATGAAGGGCACCAATTTAAGACTGAGATGAAGAGGAATTTCATCTTTTAGAGAGTTGTGAGTCATTGGAACTTTTTGCCTTAGAGACTTGTGGGGCCAGGGTCATTATATATATTTAAGACAGAGAAAGGCCCTTGATCAGTAGAGGTTACGAGGAAAGGGTAGGAAAGTAGACATGAGGATCAGTCATGAACCTACTGAATGGTGGAACAGGTTTAAGGGACCGAATGGCTTACTCCTGTTCCTTTTTCTTACGGTCTTACGGTATTCCATCTGAGTCTCTTACACTCTGTCCATCGCTTAGTCTGTCACACATTGTCCATTTCTGAGCATCTCATACTCTTCTTCCCACTCTCTTACACTGTCAATCCCAGATTCTCTCATACTGTCTATTTAAAAAAAAAATCTCTCACACTTTGTCCATCCCTGACTTTCTCTATTTGCCCATCCCTGATTCTTTCACATTGTCCATCCCTGATTTTTTTTCACTTTGTCCATCACAGATTCTCTCACTGTCGGTCCCCGGCTCTCAACACTCCTGATGAATCTTGCAGTGGCTGAAATCCTCTGCTTGGTGCTATGTTGCTGTTGGGACGGGGAGGTGTGTCTCAGAGAGAGGGGCGGGAACGAGAGAGGCGGACCCGGAGTTACTGGATTGTAAATCTGCTGGTTTCGCTCAGTCAGTTAATTATTTGTCAAAGAGAGTGCGGCAGGAAGCACAGCCTCTGTGTGTAGACAGGCTGCAGTGTCACCACCGGAGGAACAACTCAAATTGTGCCATTTGCCTTCTCCCCAAACTTCGGGGACCCTTTTTCTTGGTCATGTCCGGATTTTGTAAACCAACAGCCAAGAACTTCGAGAGCTTGACTTTGGACTCTGGGTATGGAGGAGCTGCCGACTCGTGTGGATGGTCCAGTTTGTCGCTGTCTCATTCAGGAGGGACCTGGGGCTCGTTGGCCGGTTCAGCAGGGGGGAGATACATGGACAGTTGTGACAGCCTGGACACTGAGCTACCAGAGGGCTCAGTGTTAGAGGTTCTGGACTGCTGGCCCAAACTACCCCTTTTGGAGGATGTCCCATGGGCTGAGGAAGAGTTGCAGGAGGTGCTACGAAGACGCCATCCCGGAGAATGCAGGCAGCCCGCTCCCGGTAGCTTGCTTAAGAAACTCTCCAAGTACCTGAGCAGGGCACTGGTCCGGATCGGCAGAGAGGCGCAGAGGCTCAGCCTCCTCACCGCCAAATGCAGCAAACACGAAATCCAAACTGCGGCCAAGCTGGTCCTGTCCTGGTCCCTGTCTGAAAGCTGCATGGCGGCGGCGGTCAAGGCGCTGTCCGCCTACAACCTGAACTCCGGCGACCAACTCAACAGCAGCAAGAGCTCCCAGTGCAACTTGGTGTTCTCGGTTGGCCGCTTCTTTCGGTGGATGGTAGACAGCAGGCTGTCCAGCCGCATCCATGAGCACGCAGCGATCTACCTGACTGCTTGTATGCAGAATATCCTGGAGGAGCTGCACATGAAGCTGCCGGACAGCTTCCTATCCCGAGGGAAGGAGTCGCTTGAGGCCATAGACAAAGCCCTGGAACAAATGATCAGCAACGACGCAGATCTCTGGGGTTTGTTCCAACCCTACGAACACCTCATCTGCGGGAGAAATGCTTACGGTAAGCTGGTTGTCAGAAGAAGAACTTAAAGGTTTAGCTAGGATTTCGCCACACCTCAGGATGGGAGTCCTGAAGATCCTACAAAGAGATTGTGTTTTATGTGTTGGCTGAAGGTTAATGACTAGGTGGCCCACCAAATCTCTCTGCATTCCTACAGTGGAGTGTCAACTTAGAGTAAGGCCTGACAATTCCAGAATGGGTTTGAACCTGTAAGTTTCAGTTAGAAGAGAGCCACAACTGAGACAGTACTGACACCATAAAACTCCTGGCCATCTCTTGGGGTTTGTTTTTGTTCTAAAATCTTTTAGATTCAACCGAATAGATAAGGTCTTCAACATTCAGTAGGAATTGGCTGCAGTTGTTAATTGATTAAGTTAATGAGATCTTTATCTAACTTCATTAACTAGAAAGGTTAGGAATAACAATGGGTTTATTGGCACAGGCCTCACCTGGAGTCTTGGGTACCATGCTATGAGAAAGACATCAGTTTGTGAACTCCTGGATGGGATTAGTAAGCCTTGTTATCAGAGAGGTAATAAATGTTATTTACATGCAGAAAGTTGAGGTGATCTGACAGAGCAATTGAAACTCTAAAGTAGAGATTGTAAGAACTGCAGATGCTGGAGTCAGAGATAACACAGTGTGGAGCTGGAGGAGCACAGCAGGTCAGGCAGCATCACAGGAGCAGGAAAGTTGACATTTCGGGTCGGGACCCTTCTTCAGTTTTTCTGAAAACGTCAACTTTCCTGCTCATTTGAAACTGCCTGGCCTGCTGTGTTCCTCCAGCTCCATACTGTGTTATATATGAAACTCTAAAGTGCCTATGCTGGAAATTTCCTCAGACCTGCCATTTAAGTGCCATCTTAAACTGAATTTAGGTTGTTTTGACCTATTGGAATCTATAACCAGGAACAGGTTAAGTATTCAGTTCCTATTAACCCTCTGCAGTTAAAAGAGAGAAAGAGACAGGAAGACAGATAGATAGAGACAGAGAAAAGGACAGAAAGTAGGTGGCATAAAAATCAGGAGGGACAGACAAACGAGAAAGTTGGAAAAATACCAGGCAGAAAATGGAGTGATGGAGAACTGAGCGCTGTATTCCATAAGTGAGGACAGGGTTCAAATCCAGACCCAATCAATTTGGACAGTTTCCACTTTAATTTCAGATTTTATTTCAATATTTTAGTGTCTACAGAATTTTGCTTCAGAACAATTTCTAACTCACTGAACCTGTCTTTGCCTGTTAGGCAAATTCAATGGCATATTTCTGGCTGTCTGCTTTTTCCCACGTTAATCCCTGACACTCCTTATAGGAGAGTCTTGTTAACTTTTATGGGGGAAGGGAAGTTACAGATAGAACCTAAAGTCAGTTCTGTGAAGTTCTCTAGTTTGATTTGTATTATATTGAACCTTGCACTATGTTAGAAGTAGGAGGAGGATGAAGAAATGTTTTTTTTAAAGAACAGTTTAATTTTCCTTCAATTTCTTTCTGGTTCGTATCTTTCATGGGCGTATGGAGTGATTATTCTCAATGTTACTTTCTAGCCCTTCAGTTATTTTCAGTGACAATCAACCAGCGACCAACTCACCAGCAGCTCTTAGTGCACTTGGTGTTTCTCTGTTGGCCACTTCTTTCGGTGGATGGTGGATTCCTGTGGTTAAGGGGAGCATTTGACCTGTTTTCGATTCCTGCATAGAGCTAGAATTGGCAGTTCAGGGAAATCCAAACATTTCTGTTTTTTGGTTAGTTTCACTTTAAGTATATTTGTCAGATTGTCCAAAATGAAATATCAATCCGGAGTCAACTCATTGCCCTGTTACCTCTGAGTCAGAAGATCATGGGTTCGATTCCCATCCCAGAAACTTGAATGCACTATCAAGCCTGGCTGTCCAGTATATCTCGGGGAATGCTTCACTGTCAGAGGTACAGTCTTTCATTGAGCCATTAAACCCAGGCCCCGTCTGCCATCAAGAAGTTTATGAAAAATTATATTGTGATTTTTGAAGAAGAGCAATGGAGTTCCACTTTGGCGCCCGGAACAGTACTTAGCCCTTCACCCAACATCACTGAACAGATTGCCTAATCGTTGTTTGGCGCCCTGAACAGTACTTAGCCC